TGTAACCAATGTAATAACATAGGGGCTGATGGAGCTACAGCTCTAGGCCCATGCCCATGGAATAGGCCCATTGATTTATAAAAAAAAATATATATTTTTTTTTTTTACTACTCTTCACATGCTCTTGCTTAAAGGGTTCCTATAGAGCCAGGAAAACAAACATGTTTTCCTGGCACTATAGGGTTAATAGGTCCCCTCCTCCCTCGGCGCTGAAGGGGTTAAAACCCATTCAGCCACTTACCTTAATCCAGCGCCGTGCTCCCTCGGCACTAGAGAACTCTCCTCCCCCGCCGACGTCAACTCCCGAATGGAGCCGAATGCGCATGCGCGGCCAGAGGCTGGATTGACCCTGCAGTGTAAACATAGCAGTTTCTCATTTGTTAGGGCCACCATAGACCGTGCCACCACTCCCTTATATGCAATCACACCCTCCACCCCAACACAGTGACGGCACTAAAGTATAAAGATCCCTGGTGCAAGAATTTTATTTGGCCCCCCAATTGCAAGGTTGGACAAAAGGTAGAACCCTATTTGTTGTGCAACTCCAATAATGCATTGATAGGGGGGGTTCTACCAATTTCCCATGCTTGCAGGGTTTTTTGCACTGTTTAAATGTAAGCATGTTTTTGTATGAAGTATGTTTGTCTGAATGTGTTTGTATGTGGTGTTGGAGTTTGGATGCAAGTGTGGATTTATGTGTAGTGTTGTTTTTTGAATGTGTGTTTATATATAATTTTATGCACATATACACACACTGACTACTTACAGATACATAGACACATACAGATACACAGACATATAAACTGACTGATATACGGACACACACAAATACATACATTGACAGGCATACTGACACATACACTGACAGACTTCTGACGCACACACATACAGTCACATACACGACAGACATACTGACACACACAGATACACACACTGACTACATACAGATACACAGACACATAAACTGACTGACATACTGACACACACAAATACATACATTGACAGATATACTGACGCACACACATACACTGACAGACATACTGATGCAGACACATACACTGACAGACATACTGACACACACAGACACATACACTGATAGACGTACTGACATACACACAGGCACATATACAGACATACTGACACATACCCCCACACACACACACACACACTGATAGAAATACTGACACAAACACTGACAGACATATTGACACACACAGGCACGTACACTGACAGACATACTGACACACACACATACATACACTGATACACACACAGACATACTGAAACACACACAGACATACTAACACACACACAGAGACACACTGAAACACACACACACATACTGACACACACACATACTGACACACGTAAAAACATTTTTAAGTTAGTTTCCTACCTTTTGCTGGATGGTGGCTTTCCTGAGGTCCAGTGTGGTGCCTGAGGCTAATGGGAGTGAGGAACCCCCATCTTCACTGCCTTCTCCTTACTCCCGCTCTTCTCCTCCTAATCCCCGTGCAGCTGCTCTCTTTATGGGAAGAAGTGACTCGCGGCAGTCACTTCCTCCCATGTTGCCGAAAAGCAAGGGTCACAGCACCCGACCGGGCCCCTGCTGATAGAAGCCCATCGGATGGCCCTTAGTGCATGGGCCACCCGGTGGGCCTCCTTAGAGTGTGGGACCAAAATAAATTGGTGAGGGTAGCGGGGCATAACTGGTACCGGGGCAGCTGCCCCGTGTTAAAGACGACCGTGCCTCTGGGAAATATCCAGGCCCAGACAGCTTCACAAATTCTTACTACAAACGGTTTGCGCACCTTTTAGCACCTAATCTGGAGCCCACCTTTAACCATGTCATACAAACTGAAAACATCCTACATGAGATGCTATTAGCGCACATAACCACACTTCCCAAACCAGGAAAATGGGCCCTAAAACCTTTATGCCACAAATATCTAAACCCACTTCCCACCACTGCACTAATACTTTGCTACTGGTATAGATACAGGTATAAACGTATTATAACTAACTAAATCTCACTAGCACTACTCATTGAAGCTCTTTCCACTCTCATAACAGACTTCAGTTACAAAGTTTGGCATAGATATGGGATCAAATGGTCCAGACTGGCAAACCTTACAAGTTCAATACATTACAAAAAAAAATACAATATCTCCAACATCGCTAAGTTCTCATATATACAACTAAAATCTTGGTTACGGGGGTCGGGGCCGGACCGTCGAGCTGAAAGGAAGCCATCTCATGCAGCTCCGGTCCTGAGCCTGAAAAAAACACTGATTTATCGCTCATAAACAGACCATCTGCCCCTCAAAATAATTTATATGAACAGGGGAACCAGTAAGCATTATAAAGAGACCAGACAGTAGCTGAAGACTCCACAAATATGAGGAATCTGAAGCCGTGGGCCTACTTGCTGGCATGAGCCTGCGGCCTATTACTGAAGCTGGAAATGCTCGGCACATGCTTCATGAACTATCATGATCTGAAGAGACCTGTCTTCCCCAATTTGCAAACAGCGACCGAAGAGGCCATGCTGCGGCCCCGCCCCCCCAAGACCGGGGGGGTTATCCCGGTCACCTATTTACTGGTTCTGAATTTCAAGTTTCCACTTACGAGTTTATAGTTCTCAGCCTGCATTTGCTGGACATTGGATACAGCTTTGCCCCTATGTCCCCAGCCGCGGACCGAGAGGCAGCTCACTCACTGCGAACACTCCCTTCTTGCCTTACCAGGGAACGGATGAGATGACTCAACATACTTACCCAAGAAACTGCCCATGCATTACTCAGGTGCCTTGGGGACTGCAGGCAGCAGTGGCGCCAGTAGAACCAGGCTGTCTCGGGTTGGACAGCGGTGACCTCTACCTCTAGGTTATCCGGAGGCCTGGAGGGTGCTGCTCCCTGTTGCTGTGAGCACGGCCGGGCTGGACTATGGGGGCCTGTGGCGGGCCAGTGGCCGCGGTGTCGTGTGGTCCATGCTTCGGAGGAGTGGCCGGTGAGGGGGCTCACGGAGGCACCCTATCTGAAATACCGAGACTCTGCCAGGGACAGTGGAGGTGCTGAGGCCGTTCAGTTGGTGGACTCTAGGAGAGGGGGGTCTCACGGACTGGGGGGTATCTTGAGTGCCCGCTGTGCTGAGAAGCTTATGGTGGGGGCTTTACCTGGTGTCGGGTGACACTGCATATGTCGGTACCCCCGGGTGCTAGTTATTGATGCATCGAGTATGGCCATATAGAGGCTCTATGCTACTTTTCAGTCTTTTCAGAGGCATGAGGGGAGGCACGAGACATATTCTTATGCAATGATAGCTTCCACCTCAGAAAGTAGGTTATCCTCCCGTAATTATCCCCCCTAATATTAGTTACTTATATTTTTATTTACTTATTTATTTTTAATTTTCATATACAACCTGGCCAGACGTGCATGGCCAAGATCCCTGGAATCCATGAGAGGACTCGGCTAGGGATCTTCACGTTGGGCCCTATCCCTCAGGCCCCCCTCATTCTCGGGGGCACAGGGCACCCCCCCATCCCCTTTTTTTTTCTCCCTTTTCCCTTTCTTTTTATTTTTAGTCAATCGCATTATAACTGTACTGATCTTTTGCGGAAGATATGCACCGCTACAAACCTGACACACAGTTTGAGCCATAGATCCACAACCCCAGCAACAAAATAGGGTAGATTATACAGCCTAGTCGATGACACCGCCTCTGGCACTCGATAAAGCACAAGCCATCACTGGCTCACAGATATTAACTACCACACGAGCTACTTATGCTCTTTACTTGCTTTGCCGCACATTAAAGGCTCAATGTTTATAGATGTAATCTCATATATTGATTTAGTTCTTAGTGTTACACTTTTTATTTAGACATACCAATCAGCAATACACCGTAGAATGGTACACGCTTCCAATGTTAACTTGGCATTCAACCTGTATGACATCTTATGCAGTATCGAGTCCTAGTAATAGGGCTTTCTTCCTGTTTTTCGCTAAACCTACAATGTATGCACTCATATAATTTTTGTGTATTTAAATGAGCATTTCTGCCAGTACCTGAAGTTACCACTGATAGTGATGCTTATCTTACTCTTTTGGGTTACTGTACGCATAACCACAATGAGGTACCGTTATTCTTAAGTTAAATGTAATTGCGTTCACCCCTCATACACGCAATAACCTATGGTAATATTTTCGTATGTCATATATTAATGCAATACTTTCACACTATCAACTGCAAATGTCGGCAAATTGATACGTTCTCCGTAGTTTACTTTTATTGCTGCGATATCTTTAAGTTCTGCAGTCACATTATTGCAACCATGCCTAACCTTACCGCATTCTAATACAACACTATTGTCGTACACCAGCTTATACTGTAACATGTCTGCATCTCCTACTACAAATGTATGCAAACTGCTCTGAATAAAATATGTCTCTTGAAATAAAAAAATAAAAAATCTTGGTTACACAAATACTATGTAAGGGACAAAACTGATGTACATGGAAAAGATATGCCTACAAATTTAGCTGGATTTGGCAATTCAGGTCCCAAACAGGCCTGAATCTGGTTAGAAACTTAGCCACACAAAATGGCTCAAATCCGTACCTGAATGATTTTGAATATTCCAAACTATTTGCCCTTGTTAAGATGAAAGGGATATGGTTTATTCTAAATATGGATTTTGACAGTGAAGGAGAACAAAAATCATACTGACCAATATTCCATTTTCTGATGAAATGTTTATTAAAACAAGGAGGTGGAATAGATATGTCTACAAATTTAACCCCCCCCGAAAACTCATGTCTTTTATACGCGGATGACTGTCGCCAATCAATCAACCAACTTATTACTTTCTTAGTGAAATGGGAAAACAACCTAAAACTTAAATTTACGGAATCCCAACTCAAGTCATTATTCCAAGCCAATGTGGAGTTATCAAGAAAATCCTATATCGGGGGCGGGCTGCCATGCTGACTGGTCGCATGAAAGATCAGCTCCCACAATGTGCAAACCCTTTGGCCCATATAAGTAGTTTGGCCCATCATCCAGCACAGAGAATCGGCAGTCCATAGCACTCAGAGGTACTGGTTCTGGAGCTAATCCCGACATTTGGGTTTTGGCCTCTCGAAAGGAGACATAACATCTCCATGAGGCCTACTCAGGCGGCAGGCAGAGCGGATGGCCGCCACCCAGCTATCCTGCCTGTCTGCAACCGGCTGGATCCTTCGTTTCCCATGGGTCTGGCCCTGATTCCCCCCTTTGGACAGGTGGGGATAATTCCCGTCCACCCTGGGACCCTACTTCACTTGGAGGACTCGCCTACCTTGTAAGAAGGCAGCGGAGCAATTCTACACTCCGTAGAGATGGTGGCCTCCTTCAGGGCTCTTGACGCCCTCTGCAGTCAAATAATGTGCACCACTACTCAAATCACGCAGGCTTCAGACGGCGCTAACAATTGACACTGAGACCCTGCGGAGAGCACGAGACACCCAAAACGGAGCTACATCATATTTCAAGGCTGAACATGCAAGGCATGAGCCGATCCCTCTCTACTCACCACACTCGGCTATCCAGACTCATCTGCCACTGCACTGCTGGTCCTCAACAACATACTCTGCAACACAGAGCTAAATCGTGGCTGGCTGACATAACCTAGATGACACTCTGGCTGTACACTAACAGGCCTATGTCTGAACAATGGGGACTGTGTCTTGACGATTCGGGGGGTTTGGTGGTCTCTATGTGGGGACTGGGGGTACCTCTCCATGAGCAAATATACTATCCTCCTCTGACTAAAAACGTGTTTAGGGGGTCCCGGGGGCATCTACTAACCATGGCATGTTTTCCTTTGTTTTAGTTTATTTTCATCTGTTTGCTTCCATATGCCATACTGTTCCATGCAAACTATATCTGCTATCCCTACTTTTAAAAATGTGCAGTACTTGACATATGCTTCTCAACTTTATTATCAACAATGCTCATGCTATAATGTCTCAAATAACTTGTTATTTGTCTATGCACAGGGAAAATAAAGAATATAAAAACCCAGAAAACCCTATATCGTCAGTACATGATCCCTGCCGGATTGAAGCACTGTGACCAGTGGCTACATACCAGGGTCGCAGGGGTCGCGGCTGAGACTGGGCCCGGCCCACCAGGGGGCCCGGCCGCCCCTGCGACCCGGTATGTAGCCACAGGACCAGCCTCTTCCCCTGGGGGGCCCAGGAGCCGACCACCCCAGGGCCCCCCGAGGCTGGCCCTGCTGTCACCCGGAAGGCGGGTGGCCGGTCGGGCAGGCAGGCGGGCGCGCTACTCTTCTGCTCCCTTGCGCACCGCACTGATACCGGAGCCGGAAGATGACGTCATCTTCCGGCGCCGGCATCCCTACGCGGCGCGCGAGGGAGCTGAAGAGGAAGCACACAGAGAGTGCTCCCTCGCGCGCCCGCCTGCCTGCCCGACCGGCCACCCGCCCAGCAGCCCCACTGGACCCCAGGGAATAATCCCCCAGCACTCCAAAAGGTAAGGAGGCTGGGGGGATTCAATTTTTTAAAAAAAACAAACATGTGTTAGTGTTTGAGTGTGTGTTAGTGTGAGGGTTAGAGTGAGTGTTAGTGTGTGTGTGTCTGCTAGTGAGTGTTAGCGTGAGTGTTAGTGTGTCTGCTAGTGAGTGTTAGCGTGAGTGTTAGTGTGTTAGCGTGAGTGTTAGTGTGTCTGCTAGTGAGTGTTAGTGTGAGTGTTAGAGTGAGTGTTAGTGTGTGTCTGCTAGTGAGTGTGAGTGTTAGTGTGTGTCTGCTAGTGAGTGTGAGTGAGTGTTAGTGTGTGTGTCTGCTAGTGAGTGTCAGTGAGTGTGTTACTGTGTGTGTCTTACTGAGTGTGTGTGTGTTAGTGAGTCTGTTTGATGTCTGTTAGTGAGTGTGTGTTTGTCAATGAGAGTGTATGTTTTGTAAGTGAGTGTGTGTATGTCTGTCGCTGACTGTGTCTCTGTCAGTAAATGTGTGTGTCTGTTAGCTAGTGTGTATGCGTCTGTAAGTGTGTGTGTGTGTGTCTTCAGCACTTACCTTTCTCCAGCGCCGGACTCCCTTGGCGCTGGGATCCCTCAGCCTCTCAGCTCCGAATGCGACCGCGCACGCATTCAAACCGCCCATAGGAAAGCATTACTCAATGCTTTCCTATGGACGTTCAGTGTGCTCCTCTAGCGGCTGTCAGTGAGACAGCCACTAGAGGCTGGATTAACCCTCAGTGAAACAGCAGTTTCTCTGAAACTGCTATGTTTTCAGCTGCAGGGTTAAAACTAGAGGGACATGACACCCAGACAACTTCATTGAGCTGATGTGATCTGGGTGTCTGTAGTGGTCCTTTAAAGGACCACTATAGTGCCAGGAAAACATACTCGTTTTCCTGGCACTATAGTGCCCTGAGGGTGCCCCCACCCTCAGGGATCCCCTCCCGCCCGGCTCTGGAAACTTACCTTTTTGCAGCGCTGGGCGGAGAGCTCTCCTACTCCGATCCTCCTCTTCTCCTCCCCGTCGGCTGTACGCGCACGCGCGGCAAGAGCTGCGCGCGCCTTCAGCCGGTCACATAGGAAAGCAATTAATAATGCTTTCCGATGGACGCTGGCGTGGTCTCACTGTGAAAATCACAGTGAGAGGACAGCCGCTAGAGGAAATAGGGGAAGGCTTAACCCATTCAGAAACATAGCAGTTTCAGAGAAACTGCTATGTTTATGAAAAAATGGATTAACCCTAGCTGGACCTGGCACCCAGACCACTTCATTAAGCTGAAGTGGTCTGGGTGCCTAGAGTGGTCCTTTAAGTGTGTGTGCATCTGCATGCACTGGCGTACATACCGCGGTCGCAGCCCTGTAACCTCTGCGACCAGGTGCCCACAGTCATGTGTTGCGGCCCGGCCTGCGGGGAGGGGGGCCCACGGATCAATTTTCGCACCGGGGCCCCATGGGTCATGTGTACGCCACTGACTGTGACACCAACAAATCTGACACATGCTGGAGATGTTGGGTCAGTATATGCTCCATATATTGGGGTCTTGCCCTCAAATATCCCGACACTGGGCAGACATGGGTAAACCAATCTTAGATTGTACAAAAGTCCATTTATTGGCTACTACAGAAACCTTTATACTACTTCTTATACTTAAATAGCTTGCTAAGCAGCAACACTATTTGAAATGCCAAGTGCTAATTGCAGCTCTCACTATTAATAGCAGAAATTGTCCAAAAAGCTCTGCTCCGTCCATCCACTCGCGTATCGCGTATCGGCCAAGTCTCAATCACACAGAATTACAAAACAATGGCCTGTAAGTCACTATGGTCCCTATGAGATCTCTACCTAAATTCCAACTCATCCCATCTTCCTCAGTCTCAATCAACAAACTAGCAGGTGGGCAAACCACACTGTCTTTAACCTAATGCCTCAGCTGTGCCCATCTCCTTCTGCAAGCTTCCTCAAACTATCTTTCAAAATCTGTAAATCATGGATAAAGGCAGCCGCAACACATACCCTTCCAAAAGGATGCCTCACACCCAGAACACGGTGAAACCAACACATATAAAGATATACACGATGATCTATGTAAGCAACATCCTCAAAAGAAAATACAGTGCAACCCCTACCCCCACCAAACCCTCCTTCTTCTGTTGAATTACCAGTCCTTTTGTTTTGTTATCGTTACCTGTAAATTCAAAAAAAGTACATTCTGTAGAAATGTATGCTGTCTGTAATGTACTGTAATTTCCTTTGTAATATTTAGCTCTTCCAAAGCACTGCTTATAGAAAAGTTCAATTATTTCAGGTAAAATGTATTGCCTACTCACCAGATTTAGGCATGAAGATTTCAATAAAAATAAAAAAAATGCACAGCACTCTAGAAGGATTTGGGAATTGTTAAAAACAACAAACTAGGCAACAATGTGCAATATCAATCAACAGTTGCTAGGGCCACTAAGGTATTGTCTAGTATAAAAATGGGCATTAATTCTCAGGATGAAAATATAATTTTGCTTTTTATAAATCAATGGCAAAATCAAAGACTACACCTAGAATGTGTGGTGTAAATTTGGGTACGTGTTCTAAACAAGGATGTTTTATCACTAGAAAAGTTGTGGAGGCGAGCTTCAAAATTAACAAAAGGAATGGAACATTTTAGTTATGATGAAAGGTTAACACATTTAAATATCTTTAATTTAGAAAAATGCCTAGAATATGATAACATTATACAAATATATTCGGGGCCATTACAAAACATTGTCTGGAGATCTATTCATAAATAGAACTACACATAGGACACAAAGCATTTAGACCGGAAGAAAGCAGATTTAGACTAAGGCAAAACGTTTTTTTGTTTTTACAGGAAGAACAATAAGGATGTGGAATTCTCTGCCTTAAGAGGTGGTTTTATCAGAGTCTGTACAGTTGTTTAAACAGCAACTGAATGAATAATTGCAAAAACAATATTCTACATGTATGGTAACAGCTTCTTGATCCAATGAAAGATCTGGCTGCCATTTTGAGGTCAAAAAGGAATTTATTCCGAGTTTGTTGCAAAATTGGAAAGCACTTCAAACTTGTTTTTTTGCCTTTGTTTGGATCAACAGCAAAAACAGATGTGAGAAAAGATGAGCTTGACGGATACATGTCTCTTTTCAGCCTTTCTAACTATGTAACTTTGTAAAGCTTTCTTATAGGAGACCTTTGTAAGGCTAGTTGGCATGCGTTGCAAAATGCCTCACTACGTTTTACTCCACTATTTCTCTGAAGCGACTCAAGTGACTATCAGGATGATGGCAATGTTTTTTTACTTCATTGAAATAAAGTGGTCTGGTTGCCTATAGAGTCCTTTTAAATGCAGTCGTTCTAGCCTTTCCTTACAATTTACCTTATCTCCTTTATTCTGACATCTACACCCTTTACTTTATCTGCTCATTCTCCATATTACCTTTCAGTTTCATCTCCTTGTTCAATGATAGCCTTTTCTGAGTAGCTCACCCCATTTATTTTCCCATTCTCTGTCAATGTTTAACTCTTGTAATTTTTTTCTCATTACTGGTTGGGTTATTCGCTAAAGTCTAAATGGCCCCATGTCAACTGGGGTAAAACCATTAGGCTGCATATGGGGCCATTTGGACTGCAAAATCTGGACATTGTTCATACTATTCAACAATGTCTGCATTTTGCAATTCAGGTCCCAAACGGACCTGAATTTGGTCCGAAACTTGGCTAGACCAAATGCCGCTCCGTACCTGAATGATTTTTAACATTAAACTATTTGCCCTTAGTAAGTTGAAAGGGATATAGTTTATTCTAAATATGGATCTTGACAGTGAAGGAGAACAAAAATCATACTGACCAATATTCCATTTTCTGATGAAATGTTTATGAGCATACTAGCAATTTGTATGCAGTTGATACTGGCGTACACTGAATTTTACGTAAGAGTACAAGAATATCTTCATGTTCAAAACCAGTTTTCCCATGAAACAGAAGTCAAGTAATCAAAGTAAATCAAACAGGCTATATGATGAGTATTTGCATACAAAAAAGGAGATATAATGGAAATACATACAAATTGAGCTTCAATGTAATATATATACACAATGAATAATGTGAAAATAGTTCCCTATTAACATTAAAGGAACTAGGAGTGCAGGAGGTTAACAGAAGTGAGTGAAATGTCCCCAGAGGACACTTGGATTTTTATTTGTACAGCCTATTCATATATGCTACATTGGAACTAAACTGTGTGGCTATGTTGGCTACTAAAGTACTAAAATGAATGGCATGAAAATATATTGAAATCAAAAATAAAATAGATCATATAAAAAGAGACAGAACCACATTTCACCTCTTTAGTTCCAAGCAGGAAACTAGTAGTTAAAATATAGGCAGAATTGTTTAAGAAAAAAATAAAAATAAAGGATTTACGAAACATATTTGAAGTTAACAAAAAAGATCAAAGAAATAAAATGTTTGACACAAACATTTAAATTCTAAAATGTTTTGTCATGTTTAGTGTTTTTGTTTTTCCTTTACAATAAGGTTACCACCTATGATATGACTGATGGGAGAAAATCTCCATACTGAAAGGCAGGACTCCCAGAAGTCTGTGTTCCTCTTCTCAGAATCTCTGTGGCAAACACTGCCTCCTACAGAGGTGGAAGTTGAAACTCTGAAGATTTTCTCGGCATGTCAAATGTAGCGTAATGATGGAATTCTGACAGATATCTATAAACCTAAACTAACACATAGTTAGATATACAGTTCTATATAGCAATAAAATAGGTACGTGTGACTTCAGTCCGAGGAGATGTGAGGAATATGCAACCAATAACATCAAGAACACAAGCAGAGATTCCAAATCAATAGATTTTCTGTGGAAAGAATATTAAAATGAAAATTAAAAAAGGCAGAACTCTTTAATATAAGTTTATCAGCAACTTATGTTCAAATTCTAACCAATCACTAGTTAAATTACAAAATGGCTACTTCGTTTAGCTACATATCGGAATGTAAGAAAAAAAAGAAGAATGTATAGCATGTGAAAAGTAACCTTACTAAAATAAAAATAAACACAAATTTCTAGATGCACCTTATTACACAAGAAGTACAAGAAAGTATACATATAGCCATATATTAAAAATACAATGGAAAAACGGGTATATACCCTCGAGGTGCAGCCCGAGCTGCAAAGCTGCAGTAGTGTTTTTAACATACGGCTGGTAAGTGGGCAATAACTTGTTTAATTATAGCTGTCCAATTAGCAGCCCAATCTATGTACTATCTTTATACTTGTAACCTTATAAGCCTGAAAATGCATGTTTGATTATCCATGACCCAGGTATAAACGCATGGCTTCCTGTATAGAAGCCCCTGATCATATGATCCCACTGTAAAGTGCTGCGAAATTTGTTGGCGCTATATAAATAATAACATAATAATAATAATAATCTACTTTGCTCAAAAGCCGACCTGTAGTTCTACCTTGCATTGCTGGAAAACATAAAATACCAACACAAATAAAGATTGTCAAAAAAAAGGAAAGTTTTTCATTTTTACAAAAACATATTTCTCCCGTTCCATGCTCATGAAATGAAGCAAGCAATTAAAGAACTATAATCATAGCTGTTGCTTGTTGTGGATATAGCGCAAGAAGTCCCAAGTTAATTAATTCTTTACAAAACATTAAAAATATATATATATATTTTAAAAAAAAAAGGTTTATTTTGATTACATTTAAATGCTTGTAATGAATTATCTTCAAATTACATTAAAGAGACAATAACGTCACCCAGACTACTTCATCTCAATGTAGTGGTCTGGGTACAGCGCCCCTGTAATACACTGCAGGGTTAAATATGCCTTTCGGGGCTGTCTTTTTGACAGTCACTAAAAGCACTTCCGCTGAACTGGTCGATTAACACTCATAGGAGAGAATTGCATATACAATGGACCATTGCCCAAAAGCCTCGATTACATTACGGGAGAAATGAGCAGTGCTGAAGGAGCCTCACGGCTGCAAAAAGTAAGTAAAGCTTTGATTTTATTAATATTTTGGCATATGGGTGGCTACTATGGTTAGGGCAAGGGACACTATAGCGCTACAAAAACAAAGGTGTATTCCTAACATTATAGTTATCAATTAAAAGAGGAAATTTCCAGCCAAGCTTCTTTTCTTCATGAGTAAAGTAATTTATAATGATAGAGCTTAATAAAGTCTTACATGTAAAGTATCTGTTAATCACTCGCATTCTGGTTTGTTTTCCAGCCTGTGTGTTTTCTTCTTTGGAAACCGGGGGTACAGGTGGAGGTGTTTCAAGATCATCAACAATTTCTACATCCAGATTTCGACTGACAGCTAAATTGTGCAAGATGCAGCAAGCCAGGATTATTTGTGCTCCTTTTTCTGGAGAATACTGCAGAACGCCACCTGACCGATCTAGACAGCGGAATCTGCTTTTTAGTGATCCAAATGTGCGTTCAATAGCGGAGTGTGCTGCCTTGTGTGCAGCATTGTACTGTTTCTGTGCTGCAGTTTTAGGGTCCTTGATAGGAGTTAGCAACCACTCTGTTAAGGGATATGCATCATCACCTGTAGATTAAAGTTAAAGAAAATGTACAGATACTCGAACTACAAGAAACGCCATAAACATTTTGGGAGAAAATTCTAAACTATATAAATAAATGTACAAGATATACTACAAACATAACCTAAATGTTAGAGCCAGGAACAGTGGTGAATGGTTATCAGCTATGACAATATGCCATACATGAAGGTGACATTCAAGTTTCACTTTTAATCTGTTTGAGATTTTTATCTACAGAAATAATGGACATAATTTCCAATCCACACACTTGTAGATAAAAGGTCCACCTTAATTGTAAAATGCTATATTAAAATCAAACATTAGTATTACAGAGAGCTCACTTAAAATCAACAACTTTAGTAAATTAATGGGACACACCAAACACCTTATTGCAGGATTTCAGTGCTAGCAAACTATCCCTGAAAACAAATCTTTTAACGCTCCGGTGCCTGGGTTCACCTTCCTTACCCCGATGTCATACAAGAATGGTAGCATGCAATGTGTACTCACTACATTCTAGTTTGTCTGTCTCTTTCAGTTGCACAAGCGGTGCTGTTCGCACAAAGACACACAGGACAAAGTTTTGTGAGGTGGAAGGAGGGTGTAGCGCGTTTAGAGAATTCTCAGACGCGAATATGTAAAACAAGAGCTGGTGGGAGGCTCTATATAATGTGAGTGCATTTCTCTATTTTAATTTTACTTCTACCTCATAAAACACTGCACTAGATTTGGGTTTATTATCCGTTTATTCCAGATATCCTTGGAGTGCTTACTACTGGATCAAAAGAACACACCAAATATCCTCTCCAAATTGTAAGTGCATTTCTTTCATTAACCTGCACCAGAAATACTACACTGTATTTTGCTGTGCTCTTCTTGTTTTACATATTTATTCACATATGAGAATTCACCATAGGTGCTACACCCTCCTTTCATCTCACACATATTTACCTGAAACGAAACAGAGAAACTCCGGTTTGGGTTGCCAGAGCTGCCTTCTATATTCAAGTTTACAAGCTAGAAACCTGCTACCTTTGTAATTTTAACACAGGACATAAGTTGCTTGCATGCTCACTGCACAATTCACAAAAGTAATTGAGATTTATTTGGACGGTGTGAGCACATTCTTTCAATCCAAATGCTTGGACAGCTGAATGGGAATGCTAGACTTGACATATGACATCAGTGGAGCCTGGGTGCCATGGATGAAAGACAAAATAGGGGAGATTTAAAAAGTTAATTATCAGGGACACTGTAAGACTACAGCTCCCATAATCCTCTGCTATCCTATGCTTGATGAAGAAATACAGGGTTTGTAGTTCAAAATGAAATGGAGAGCCACATATCAACACCCCTATGCCAGAACTACATTCTCCTAAAATAAATACATTTAACTTACCCAGAAGCCAACCTTCTGGGAGATTTCCAGACGTCAAAATTGAATGTAAACTCGAATGTTTCAAAATATAGGAATCGTGAGTGGATCCGGGGTATCCAGCTACCAAATTCAAAATCCTCATGTCTGACGCACATACCATTTGGACATTTAAGGAGTGGAAATTTTTACTGTTCCTGTAAATATCTTCTGTGGGAGGTGACAGAGCAACATGGGTACAGTCAATTGACCCCATAACATTTGGAAAAGCGGACATTTTGTGAAAGCCATCTTTTATAGTTTGTATAGCTGTTTTGTCTGAAGGAAAAACAATGTACTGGGGAGTGAGTTTGTTTATGGCCTTTAATACTTGGGTTAAGTGCCTGCTAAAGCTGGGCTGGGATATACCAGAAAGGGCAGACACAGTACCCTGGAAGGATGCGGATGAAAAGTAATGCAGGGCACTAAGCAGTTTCACCATCCCTGGCACAGCATGGTTTCGTTCACAGTTTGGTTCTATATCTTGTTGGATTTGTTCATACAGCTCTAGGATAACTTCAGTGCTAAAGCGGTACCTAGATCGCACTTCCTCTTCATTTAAACCAAATAGAGAGATTCTCGGTCTGAAGATGCGTTCTCTGTGCCTGTGATTTGGATTGGAATCCTTCTGCAGCAACTCTTCTTCTTCCCCTTGTTCATGTATGTGAAACATTGCACGAAGGTCCATGGCTGGACTGAAAACTAAAGGAAGGAGATTAAAAAGAAAATAAATGAAAAAAAAAATAATAATATAAAAATAGGATATTAGTGCCAAAAGACAATTCTCCAAAGCATCTATTAACATTAACTTTTGTAAGGATGTTACCTGATCTTAAAGGGAGACTCTAGGAAATGTAAACGCTTCATCTCACTTAAATGGTTATGGTGCTTGGAGTATCATGGCGCTTGGAGTATCATGGCGCTGTCATTCCATTCAGTGTTAAACTGCTTTTTAATGGATTAATGCTAAACAAGAGTGTACCACAGTTAGCAGTCTGTCTCTGTGCTGCTCAGGTTAATGAGTAACAGAGTTGTTTTCTAAAGTGAAAAATGCAAGGTGAATTTCAAATTTAAGGTCAAAATTGCCAAACTGTAAACTATGCTTTCAGCTTGGCTACTTTAGCCTTAAATTTGAAGTTCACTTTGCATTCTCACTTTAGTGAATAATCCTATTTAAATGATCACTTTAGTGAAAGTGTTAGCCTGAGCAGCAATTATTTGTGTGGTGTGATTTACGTGTCAGCTGACCGCTCTCAGTCTATCACAGAAATCTATCGCTGGTATGAATTCACATGCCTAAGAAGGTGCCTTCATGGCTTGGCTGTGAGTGGCCAAGGACCCTCATTGAGTGTTAAACAGCTTGAAAACGGTTTAACACGGATAGGAGAAACAGCGCCAAGGGACTCAATTTCAATGAGGTCACCATCTGGGGTCTTTGCATTGTTTGCAAAGACACCCCACTCCGGCTTACAATGCAGTGGCCCAGGGGAGCACAGGAAGGTACGTTTTACTTTCCTGAAGTTGTCCCTCATAGCATCCTCCATTTTTATCCAGTGGAACCTTTTTTTAGCAAATGGCACTTTGTCTACCATGAGCCCATGCCAGTGCTTTACTCTCACATATGTGAGAGCCTCCAGAGGCAATGCCTTTTTCCTCACAGCTGTCACTAGTTAAGGAAAAATGACAAAATTTAAAGGTGCATATGCCTTTTTTTTTCGTTTTCTTGTCAGGGGTAATAAAATACATAATACAAAGTATGGTAGTCCTTTACTTTGGCGTATGATATCTTTTGACTGCCTTTGAATTTCAGTGAAATTCAAACACAGTCAAAGTGTGTATTTCATCGAGATTTTATCTCCTCAGTTTTTTTTTACATTTTTGGGGGGAGCGTAGGGGGGGGGGTATTGGGGGTGACAGAGTTGCTTTAAGGAACATTAAAGAAAACTACATTATTTTCATTCATAGAGCAGAATTCTAGGTACCTCTAGTTCATATGTAGTTTATTACTCTCACTGCAGTTTCTTTTATAGAAACAAAACAATTGTAGTGTTTATATATTTATGTGTGCACAAGTGCAAAATATTTTTGGGATCTTTTTTTCCCCCTATTCATTGGATTAATAACAGTTACTTTTTATAAGACATTTTCTCTGGAAAGCGCTAACATTAATGTGGACCTGTCACTTTTCTGGAAATTACATGTTTGAATAAAATGAAAAATCACCTATAATTTCAATTATTTTTTTTTGATGTGATGGACAGTTTTATTGTAAAATGTACATTAAAGATTAGGAAAATTAGATTATAATCCTATTAGGGCACAGGCAGGGTAAACAATGCAAATGAGAAGAACATGAACATTTCTTCTATTCCACTAACTTTGTTCAAGGGAGTAAAGGGCAACTTTTATAACTATGGTTAACAAGGAGCCAAGGCACTCAGTTACACAATAAATGAAATGAAGGAATTCATGCATCTATTTTTCAAACCTCAAGAAAACGTATTTTCTATATATAGGGGAGAAGTATATAGTATTAAAGTCTTCAGAAGTCACAGGTAACTTTTAATAGGAACATTCTAAGCACCATAACAACTACTGGTGATGGCTCTCACCCTTGGAGCTAGGCCCTCCATTCCAGGGCTTAGTTTAGAAGCGCTGACGGAAGTTTCAGCTCTATGAGATCTGTACTGAAGGTAGGGAACTGCACATAGCAGACCCCAGGTAAGTCAAACGTTTTAAACATGGCTTGACTACTTACAATGTTGGTGCACCAGAGCACTCGATAATCAGTACAACAAGCTGTTGAACTTAAAGGACCACTATAGGCACCCAGACCACTTCAGCTCAATGAAGTGGTCTGGGTGCCAAGTCCAGCTAGGTTTAACTCTTTTTGCTGTAAACATAGCAGTTTCAGAGAAACTGCTATGTTTACATATGGGTTAATCCAGCCTCTAGTGGCTGTCTCATTGACAGCTGCTAGAGGCGCTTCCGCGCTTCTCACTGTGATTTTCAGGGCACTATAGTGCCAGGAAAACGAGTATGTTTTCCTGGCACTATAGTGGTCCTTTAATGCAGTGGTTATATCATTCTATTTTCCACCTGTCACAGCAGAGACATTTTTCCATCCTCCAAGCAAAATGTATTCATTTTCTAGATGCACTTGATTTTCTTCCCCACTTACTTTGGCCTTTCGCACCCCAGAATTTTGTCCCCTCTACCCTTTAGCATTGTAGTGGTTATGGAGCTTATTTTCAAAACCACACTCTTCAGAAAAATTTGTAAAATTAGCATCAAATATGAGCATGTAAGGAGTCACTTGGAAAAAGTAAAAAAAAAAAAAAAAAAGTTAGCTTATATACTGGTCACTACTAGTTCATTTTCATACTGAGATAATTAATATTTTTGTTTTCCCCAAAAAAACAAATATTTAATGTTCAATTATAGTGCAAGTCACCATAACAGGTATGCAACTAATCAGGTAAAGAGAATGAGAAGAAATAACAATATGTGCATATAAACTATACACAATTTCTGGGGGAAAAAATAAACATTTTAGCACACATACAATTAGCACAAAATAATTTTTTTTTTTTTTTTTTTTTTAAATGTTCCTGCTAATATGTGAACAGGGGAAAATTTTCAAAGGAAATGCAATTTCAGACCAAAACATTCATATTAGGAAAACAGTATCTTAAAAAAAAATTTATGGCTAATTTAGAACGATAAAATATGATTTTATAGAAAAGTGTCCCCAATTCCTGTCTTACTAAATAAAATAATGCATCCATTTTAAATAGGTTATGCAGATGTAGCATGTAACATGATTCATTGAAGCTTTGTCGGATTTGTACATATTCTTATAGCATACTAAGCTTTTTAATTTGAATGCTTGCACTTTTTTCACTATTAGTGACTCAACCATTGCATAATCATTACCTGATCAAGGCGATAAAGTAATTATTCATATTAATCTCTACACGAGAAAACCAAATATACAATAACACAATCATTATTAAGTGATCAAAAACATTTTTTTTAGAACTGTTTATAAAATAACACCTACGTTATATCAAATTTACTGTCACTTAGTGTATTTAGATCCCCTCCCCAATCGTATCCTATCTGCTCCCCATTCCCATCGAGTGTATAAGGGATAGGAATATACCGGTCCCTTTAAGAGATGATAGCAGCGTGCAGTGAAAGCATCCTGCTGTTTACAGAACATTGCGGCGATCACATAGAGAATACTGCTCTTCTCCATCAGACTTGCAAGCGTTCCTTTATAGAACTAAGCGATCTAGAACACTGAGCGATCTTAACAAAGCTATCAAGTTCTTTCAGTCCTGGCCTGCTGCAGGCTTCCTTAACAATGGATGCAGGTATAAGCAGACATTGCATGCAGCCTCATCACACTGTGTGTAGCAGCTACGTCCCTACAAGCATATACAACCCAGATACACAAACATTAAGAGCGCAGTGTGTGCCAATAATATGCTGTGTTACCACCTGCTTTGATCCAGGAACACTAAAATGTTCTACTTCCTCTCATCTCATTTCCCCCCATTAGCTCCACCCTCTCCCAATGCTCTCCTTATTTAACCCAGTCTTTCCCTTCCTCCCAATGGACACATTCATGGCTGCACATAGTCTTGGTGGTCAGAACCTGAAACCTTAGTTGCCATTAGATAGCTGTCACTGCCAGGCATTCAAAAACAAACAAATAAAAAAAACAGTTGATCATGGCAATGAAGAAATATTCTTTTTTTGGCCAGCATTATTTTGATAGAGCAAATTAGCTGTAGTAACACCATTTGTCAGTGTTAAAAACAAAATCTTACCATACCAAAATACTGTTAGTGTCCTAAAAGAAACAAACTGACTTACATCATGTCTGAAAATCATTTTTGGTTGTTATGGAAAAATTGGGATAATCACTTGGTACAACAATGAATTCTAGGGGGGAAAAGACTCTTTATTAGCTTCGTGCAATATTCAGTTTTTGAGCTTTATTTCTTCATAGATAGATACCTGTTCTAATATTGTAGTTAGTGGATGTATAAAAAGACCTCAGTGTTGTATCTTCCACTATGACTTTTCTTCTTGCATACTTTCTTCACTGCATATTTTGTGGTTCTACCACTCATGCAGTGGAGACCTACTTGACATTTTATTTCATATTTACTGATTTTGGCGGGAACATATTTACGTCCCCTTTGGACTGGTGCAAGTTACAAACAGAAAAAAACCTCAACTGACACCTCCTGTAAAATGGCTGTGGATTCTTTGTGTATCTCTTAGAGTGTGTTTTTGCATATTTGAGGATTAAAAATAATTTTATATGTGGGTTTATCCCATCACTTAAGGACCTCTGATTCAGGCATACATTTAAAGAGTAGTATAAAGTTTCTCTACACGTATAGCTCAGCTGGCTTTTTTTACAACTACTTTGCATAATGATGACTCAGAACAACTATAAATCCTTCTAAGCCTTGTCAAGAATATATTATATATATCCCACGATTACAAGACATTCCTAACATAGTTTTAAATGACAAACATTGCTGTTTACCCAATTCCAATATTTACCTGTTGTTCCCAAGTGTTCATTTAAGACATACACATCCAGTTTGTACATGGGCAGTGTTCCACTCATGTATTCAGGGAGTCCAAAGCTAAAACAGTTCTATGCTTTCAGGTTGTTCAAGGTCAATATTCACATCTAAAAATACATTTAACAGTCAACTAGAACTGACCAAATGATCCTATTTGGAATGGTAGACATCCACTGTGATCTGTTCATTGGAGTCTTTGGGATCTGAGACCTTTTGGAGAACGTTTCTGAGTCCTGCTGAGAGCAGTTAGTAATAGTATAACATATCCAATGTGCTGAATCCACTTTAAGTGGATGCAGCCTAAAAATATCCAGCATCGTAAAGTGTGGTGGAGTCATACCAGACTCAGATTCTCTATAGGCAATCATATTACAATTAGCTGACATCACTGATGATATGACCACTGACGTGGTGACCGCTAACCTACTGAAATTGCCAAACTGTTTTGACAAATGCTGTATATACAATTTCGATCTTTGTGGAAGCTACAGAGTTTCCATTTAATTCCCAAATAGTGGTTTGATCAATATCCAGTCCTGGACCCCTACCTCTCTTTCAAACCTATTATCCATTAAACTATCCATTAAACTATAATATTTATCTCCTCACAATAAATTCTTATTGGGTTACTCCAGGCACCATGATTCATGATTTGAATGGTCATGGTGCTCGGAGTCTGTATGTGCAGCATTGTGTTATGAAACTCTGCACATACTGGTTTAACTCCTTTGCTGCTGGAGGTGAAACTCCGCCTTCAGAAGCATCACTGGGGTTGTCATTAGTAAGTGTATCCACTCTTTTGCCTCTCTTGGAGCTTTTATGTCACGTCTCCCCATGTTTGTGTATCTTATCACAACTTTTGATTGTAGCCAGCAAAAGAGCCACATTTTAAAGATACACTGAGCATTATGCCAAAGGGCGTATCTATAATTGGCATTGTAAGGACACGGCAAAGTTCACTAAATGGCAAACAGTCAAACAAAATAAAGTTCCTTATAAAGACCGTGCCACTGCAACTACTGATTTGACTGAGATAACCACTTGTTTAGCCATATACCAAGGAGAAAAAAGCACAAACCAAGGGTCACACCAGTCCCATGAAGCAAGACAGAAGAAGGTACTTCCCCAACAAATGTACAACACTCGCAGGAAATAAATGCAATTAATTTATCCGATCACAGATTGTCTAATGCTAATCTTTAGCACTGAAAGGGTCAAACATTAGGAAAGATGAAAAAGATGTTTCACTTCCTCAGAGGATGGTTTTAACACCTGGAACATAGAACAATGTGGGTTGAACTTAAAAGCCAAGAACTCAGAACTACCCAATACTTCAAAGGCACTTGCAGGGTTATTTACTAATGTGAGAATTGTCTGGAATTCAAACTGAATTTAATGATCATTTCAAATTTAAGGCAAAGTGACTGAACTGGAAACACAGCTGAATTTTTTCCAGTTTGGTAACTTGGACTTTAATTGTTAAATTCTCTTTGAAATTCATGACAATTCTCCCTGTTAATGTAAGATTAATTCCATCATTATCATTGTGTTAAAGTCCAGTGGTATTACCTATAAGTTATCATCATCATCAATGCATTAGCATTTTTCATTCTATAGTATTGTGCAGGAATTTGCTGTCCTATAGCATTTTGCAGGGATACCTGATATTAGTATGTTATTTACTAAAATCATAAAGTGATCTAATAACTGCATCAGACCATCTTTATGGGCTCCTGGCAAATGTGTAGTGTTCCAGGCTTCTGGAGGTGGATTTGTAAAGTTTGCCATGCAAAAAAAAAAAAAAGATTGTAATGACAGTGGCAGACGGGGCACAGAGGTAAATTATAGGTTTTCTCTGATTAGGCCAAGAAAAAAATTATCTTTGCAAATATCAGAGACGTTTTTTGACTGAAATGTTATATTTTTCTAAAGACACTACAATTATTTTCTTTTCTTTTTTTTGCTAGAGTTTTTGATTATTCAATTTTTTCGCACTAAATTGTTTTCATTATTTCAGTTTTGAATGTGATATTTTACTTGTTTTTTACTTTGAGTCTGAGTTAATTAAAATTTTAGCAAAAAGTATTCTCAATGGAAAAATAAAGAAAATATTCAAAATCCACTAGAGTCACAGTTTAAAAGTTTAACCAACACTTTCTAATTATTATCTCTATGGCTTTATAATGCCCTATTGGAAATTGGACTATTGGTCCCCTCCCCACACACATACACTTTTTCAGTTACAAACTTGAGAAAACTGTTGAAAACATACCTTGAATCTATCATCAGGACGATCAGTTCCAGAGGTGGCTCCCTAATTAGGTGAGTTAGTTGGCTGCCTATGGCCTCACAGTCACAAGGGCGATTTTATAAACTTGGATATCTAGGTGATGTAGATTAATTTAGAAATAAACAAAAATGTTTAAAAGTCTATCTGTTCCTGTCCAAATCTGAGATGAATAAATTGCGTATACGCAGAAGTAAGTTCACACTGACACATGCAGTTCAGGTTAAAAACACTTCAGGAAATTTATTAGCATCTAGTTAAAAAGCGGGCACGCAGGCCTTTTTATATGCAAAATGACATCATCATTGAATATCAGATAATAACAAATAAACATCATTAATTGGGTTAAATGTTAAGTGGCTATGTCAGTGTCCACCCATTAATATTATTAATTGGCTCAGAGATTTGAGTGACTAGTGAGGCACCCTCCCATCATGGGATGTCATTGCTCTTTAGCACGAGGCTTACTCAGTGGAAAGGGGGGGCTTGGGCATCATTTTACGTAGTTAGTGATGTCAGTCTCGTGGTCTGGTCCAAGGTTCTTTTATGAATAGAACATTTCATTTAGTCGCTGTTCTCCTGGCCTTGGATTATACTATGTTGCAAGTCAACAGAGATCCGCTAACTCCGGGGCTAGTTATGTCCTTAGAGAGAGAAAATACAATCTCTTATTCATTATATTGAATACTGTCATGTAAGGTGAACAAAATGGAGAGTTCTGTCACAGTGTGAGATTAAAAATGGAGTTAGTACAATTATTCAATACAAGTTCAGTAAAGATTTTAATAATTCTACATCAGTCCCCCCTATGAAATGTTAGATTCTAAAAGATAATCTTTATTTGTTAGTATCAGAAGACGTGTTAGCCCAAAGGCACAGAAACCCCGTGACCCGCTAGCTAGGTGTTATTGCAAAGTGCAAAGCTGTCCCTTCGTCTGTCCCTAATTGGCTAACTCATCTGTCCGCTGGGCACTCGAACACTTCACTCCATGGGTATCCCGAGGTGGCTAACCCACCACATCTCCGCACGGTAGACTTCCCAGACAGACAGATGCTGTCCCTAAGCTGGTCCCTTCCTAGAACTCTTGCACTTTATCAATAAACGGGATAGATTGTAGCGGTATACAGGGCGAGTTGACTTTTTGGAAATCTTGGTCATCAACTGTGAGGTGTGCGAAAGTGGGTGCCGCTTGGTCTACAGTCTTCAAGAGGAGCTTTCTCAGACAAGGGAGGACACAACAAACGAGAAGAGCAAAGATAAAAAGGAAAATTAGTATTGCTATACCAATATGCATCAAAGCTTTTTGCCATCCTGTCATCCAACCAAACCATCTCTCCCAGGGATCTTTTATCCCAGAGTTCCTCTTTAGCTCCTCAGAGAGCTCTTTCAATTTTTCTATAGCTAAGGTTACTTTACCATTGGGGCCTGTGTTTTCTGGGATGTAAGTACAACATGTCATGGTGTCAGGCAGAATTTTACATACCCCTCCTTTTTCGGCTAGAATCATATCTAAAGCCATTCTATTCTGGAATGACATTTGGGACGTAGCCTGCAGCTGTTCGGCCAAACCCTGAAGGGCATCCCTGGTGTAATTAACAAACCGTTGTTGGTTGTAGTAGATGTAATTTATCCAATTTAAATTCTTGTTTGCAGTGACTATGGTAAAAAGTGATTCAA